TGCAGCCGCTTTCAGTCCCCCCTTTTATTGGAAGTTTCTCAATCTTGGGAAACAGGGCGCTGTTCTCCTTTGGCAACTTCCTGCTGGCCAGGGGCGTCGACCAGGGTTGAAGATTTCAGTGTGTGTTAGAAAGAGCATAGGGGGGTAAGTGAGAATGGAAATCAATCACATCTTGATGAATTAGGTGGCATGATGAAAGGGTGTCCTGACTTATCACAGCAAAAACTCCACTGGCTCTGAGAGTATTGGTAGCCCCCTTAGCGAGTACCCTGACAAGGCAAGGGACACAAGTGCAGATTAGAATGATGATTGTTATTATTGTAAGGATAGGGGCTAACCAAGACCCCAAGGAAGGAAACATGTCAGAAAACCAACTCCAGGCGTCTTCCTGACGCGATTTAGGGTCTGTCCACTCAGTTACTTTTCGAATGGTTTCTAATCCCATTTCTACTTCTCCTGTGGTGTTTATCCAGGCACAGCAGGTTTTATTTATGATGGCATAGACTCCCCCTGATTTGGTCAATAAAATGTCTGATGCAATTCGGTTGTCCAGGACCACCTCTGCCAGAGAATTCAAGGAGGTCTGCTGGGCCTGGAGAGCCCGTTTGGCCACTAAAGCCAATAGGTGGAGGGCGTCAGACAGATTTCTTACAGACATTTCCATGTGATATACTCCTAGTCCTGGGATTATGGTTCTCAGGAACCACCATCCAAATCCAGTGTTGTCTACAACCAGACTGCTATTAGTTCCTGCCACCTCTAGGGGGACAGGATTTACAGAGAAAATGTTCCACTTTGCACAAAAACTTGCCTCTGCACTCCGGCGGGCGGAAGGCGAGTGAATCTGGATGGGGAAAGTTAGGAACCCCAAGGTGCACTGACCTACAAAATGCACACCAGTCAGGCATTGGATGGCCCAGGTGTAGGGTGATAGTTTAGGAAAGGGCTTTTCACTAGTGGGATAGGCCTTTCCCCCACATAAGAAGCTATATCCGGATGGAGCACAAAGGGATGCGTTTCGATTAGTGCTGTCTGGGATACTAGTGTTAACGTCAGATAGTCGAGGAACAACCAAGGACTAACTGCAAGAAGAGAGAAGCTGAAAGTCTCGGAAAACTTGTTGGGCCACTTTTGCCTGTAGATTTTGTGACCTGATTTCCCACCGTTGTTCTGTTGCGCGATTATATATTCCAGTCAGGGAGAAACAAGGGATGGAGAAAGGGTATTGCACCAATCAAGCCCATACCGGCACTTTAAGGGGCTCACGGGACAAAACACAATCAGGTATCTCCTTAGTGTAATCAAAAACTGGTGCGGCCAATGGACTTAACGGGGCCCCTGATCCCCTGGAGGTGATGACAAACCCAGCAATTGCTGAGATGTCCCCCTGTGGCTATACCCTGGGACATGGTGATTAACCCGTTGGAGGACCAGTCCTACCTGTTGGGAAGGTGGGCGGGCTCTTGCTGTCCGACCGCAAGGACTCAAACCTCCTTCCCCCAACTTATCTTCTCATCCTGAGGTGAACGCTTTTTATATTTTACACAGTAATATGTCCCAGTATCCGATAGGCTCATATCAGAGACAGTGATTGAAAAGTCCTGATTTCATGCTCGGGTGGTGTTTTGCCATAGGGATCACCCGGTCCGAGCCTGTAGTTTTGAAATCTCAAACCGTTACCTGTCCCTGCTCCAGCTTTTTCAAGATCACTTGACTGGTCCCACTGGAGTCTGGGTGGAAATCACACAGGTAAGGGTCAAGGTGTCTCCAGCTTGCAGGATCAGTGTCCGTTTTGCCTGCAGGATCACGGACACTTCTCCTGTCCAGGTTCCCAGTGCGGGGGGTGGTGGGAGAATTAAAAGGAATAAAACTAAAATCATTATTCAATAAGCTTTTTAAACTTGTATCTTAAACCTTGCAGTGGAGTGCAGGCGTATGACAGTTGTTCAGCTCCTATCTTCTCCTCTTCTGGCGGAGCCGCCTTCACTCTAGAATGGTGCACCCAGGCAGCAACTCCTCCCAGCTTCAAGGACAAGTGGTGGTCAGGAGGAGATCAAACGGTCCCTCCCCCTTCTGGGCCAGTTGATCTTCTGGGTGCTGGTTCTTCCAAGTGTTCAACAGGAGCCAGTCTCCAGGTTGGAAGCTGTGGAGAGGAGTGTCAGAAGCAAAAGACAAACGAGAAGAAGCATACTGATTAAGTGTTTCTGACGGCTCCCAGAGAATGGACCCAGTCTCTTTTCTCCACCTTGGTCATTACTGAGGTGGGGAAAGTCAACTTTCTAAGGAATGGTCTCCCATATATTAATTCGTAAGGGCTCAATTTGAGCCTGCTTCGAGGGGCTACCCAGATTCCGAGCAGGGCAACGGGCAGAACTTGTATCCAGGGAGAATGTGTTTCTTAGCGGAGCTTGGCTAGGGTTTCCTTCAGAGTGTGATTCATCTTCTCAGTCTTCCCGGTTGACTGTGGCCTCCAGGCTGAATGTAATTTCCACTTAATGTCCAGAGCCTTACCAACTCTTGTGTGACCATTGCCACGAAGGCTCCCCCATTGTCACTTTGGATGGATATTGGCAACCCAAAACGAGGGATAATTTATTTGAGTAGTACTTTGGTTACTTCTCGAGCTTGTTCAATCTGACAAGGGAAGGCTTCCACTCACTCAATGTGTCCACAAAAACTAACAAGTACCTGAAGTTCCCAGGCGCTCAAGGCATCATTGTGAAATCCACCTGCCAATCTTCTCCCATGTTAGTCCCTCGGTGTTGGACTCCCGGTTCCACCGGATGAGGGGTGGTCTTTGGGTTGTGCCTGGCACAGAGATGACATCTCCTTGTCACATCCCGGATGGCCTTGAGAAGGTTTGGCCCAATAACTCCCTGCTGAATCCACTCGAGACTAGCATCTCTTCCATAGTGTGTTCCTTCATGTAGTGTGGAGACTATATCATAAACTTGTGCTTCT